CAGCATTTTTTTTGCCATGTAGCCCTTTTACATAGGGGTTTTTATAGAAGTTAAAACCATAAGCTTCTAGTAACAAACAATTTTAAAAGTTTTCCCCTAGGTTTTAGACTAACAGGGGTTATTTATTTAGTAAAAACAATGTGAAGCTGCAGCAAAGCTTTTGTTAGCAAAGCTTCTGTTAGCAAAGCAGCCTCTGTGAGTCAGTGGATCACAGAGAAGGAGTTTGCTTCTTGACCTGCTTTTTAACAAACACACGTAAAAGTTACATTAAGTTTTGCAAAGGAATAAAGCTCTGCTTTATAATGACTTGAAAAGACAAACCTAAGACATGTGTTTGTATGTGTTGTAATAAAAGAAAAGAGCAGGCAGAAACACCCCAGGTTTTTAGTAACAGACAGTTTATATATCCCTGTGACGAACTGGGACTGTTCTTAATGTGGTCTTTGAATGCTGAGTGGGGAGTGTTGGCTGGGAAGGCAAGGGAGTGTGGCTAGGACGGTCTGCATTGGGGGATGGGAGACTGGCCTTGAGGGAGAATACCTGAGCATGTAACATGAGAACCCAGGAAGGAGTTGGAGGCCAGGTGACACCTTTGCCCGGGAAACTGAACAAAGGCTGTGGGAGGGGTCACTGAAGGGAGAGTTTCAGGAGCTGGCTGGTGGAATAGCTGGGAGGCAGACATGGCTCTGACCTCTCAAGGGGGCTGTGGTGCCCTGGGACCCCAAGATGGACCTAACTGAGGGGGTCCTGTTGTCTGTGCCTGCAAGACCTGTCTTGGACTGTGTCCCTGTTGTCTAAATAAACCTTCTGCTTTACTGGCTGGCTGAGAGTCATGGGGAATCGCAGGAAGCCGGGGGTGCAGGGCCCTGAGCCCCCCACACTCCGTGACACCCTGTTTACCTGAAGAGAAGACAAGGGACAGAGGCAGGACTTGGGGGAGGTGATATCAGTTGCCCAGATGTGAAGCAGGGGATCTCGGGACTGGAGAGAGGACCAGGTGTGACCTCGCCTAGCAGCCTGGATGCTGGACAATGGCCTGGATATGGTAGAACTTAGCAACCAGTGACCAGAGGCCCAGCCCATCTTGGGAGCCGGCCAGTTCTGACCAGTGGGAGGACAAAGGACGGAAGAGAGAAGGCCCCGATGATCTGGTTGCCCGGAAGAAAAACAAAGGGCGGATGAGGGGCTGTGGGGAAGGTGATATGGGGGGTCAGCTGGAAGGAAGTCGCTTCTGGACTGGGGACAAAGAAGAGTCTGACCCCACCTGGACTGGGGCAGATCCAGCTGGACGGTGCTGAGACTGGCCAGACCCGAGCCTCTGAGCACTTCCTGGGCTGGGTTTGGCTGTACAATAAACCTCCTGTTTTATGCAGGCTGAGAGTCCCTGCAGGCTGGAGATTGGGGGCATCGCTCCCTCTGGGGGTGGCGGCCCCATGGGGCCAGAGCAAGGGAACCCCCTGAGGGGGCTCCCAGAGGGAGCTAGGTGGGCTGGAGACTCAGAGGTGCAGTTCCAGGAGATGGTGGGACCCCGGGCTTAGCTCCAAGAGAGACAGGACCCTGAGAAGGGCTGTCAGACTGAAGGGAGTTCCTCCTGGGGACCCTACGGACCCGAGAGAGCATGGGGGAGGCTGTGAGTCCATGACAGACCTTCATGCATAAACAGTGAGGTGGCAAAATTTGCAGATAATACAAAACTACTCGAGATAGTTCAGTTCCAGGCAGACTGCGAAGAGCTACAAAGGGATCTCAACAAACTGGGGGACTGGGCAACACAAAGGCAGATGAAATTCAGTGTTGGTCAATGCAAAACAATGCACATTGGAAAACATCATCCCAACCAGACCTGTAAAATGATGGGGTCTCAATTGGCTGTTACTACGAAAGGAAGAGATCTTGGAGTCATTGTGGATAGTTCTCTGAAAACATCCACTCAATGTGCAGCGGCAGCCTAAAAAGTGAACAGAAGGTTGGGAATCATTAAGCAAGGATTGGATAACAAGACAAAATATCGTATTGCCTCTGTATAAATCCATGGTACACCCACATCTTGAATACTGCATTCATATGTGGTCACCCCATCTCAAAAAAGATATATTGGAATTGGAAAAGGTTCAGAAAAGGGCAAAAAAAATTATTAGGGGTATGGAACAGCTGCCATATGAGAAGAGATTAATAAGATTGGGATTTTCAGTTTGGAAATGAGACAACTAAAGGGGGATATGATAGAGGTCTATAAAATCATGACTGGTGTGGAGAAAGTAAAGAAGACAGTGTTGTTTACTCTTTCTCATAACACAAGAACCAATTAAATTAATAGTCAGCAGGTTTAAAACAAACAACAGGAAGTATTTCTTCACCCAACGCACAATCAGCCTGTGGAACTCCTTGCCAGAGCATGTTGTGAAAGCCAAGATTATACCAGGGTTCAAAAAATAACTAGATAAATTAATGGAGGATAGGTCCACCAATGGCTATTAGCCAGGATGGGCAGGGATGGTGTCCCCAGCCTCTGTTTGCTGGGAGGACGACAGGGGATGGATCACTCGCTGATTCCCTGTTCTGTTCATTCCCTCTGGTGCACCTGGCATTGGCCACTGTCGGCAGACAGGATACTGGGCTAGATGGACCTTTGGTCTGACCCAGGCTGGCCATTCGTATGTGTTAGGTGTGGTCAGAAATACAATATGAAAGAGGGCAGACCCAAGGGAAACCCCAGCAGGAACCATCCCGCTAGCAATGATTGTCTATTGAGAGGTCCATTGGAGCCGAGAACACCGGTGGTGATGTGAAGATGACCACGGCTGTAATTCTTGCACAGGTTTTTGTAGGATTTCTCTCTACAGGAGTAACTGGAACTTTGCTTAACACTGGGGCCAGCACTGACGGCCAGGGGAGAGCGCCCCCTAGTGACCTCTGCCCCCACTCACTGCAGCACAGCACCCCCTAACAGTGCACTGGGGTATCAGGGCCAGCACTGACTGCCTGAGGAGAGCACCCCTCTACTGAGCCCCTCCTCCTGCTGCATGCAGCATAGCACCCCCTAGTGCAGCAGTGGGCTATTGGGGCCTGATGGGTTAGAACTGGTGGGCTGGATGCCAGGACTCCTGGGTTTTCTCCCTGGCTCTGGGAGGGGACTAGGGTCTAGTGGTTACAGCGAGTGGAGGCTGGAAGCCACGACTCCTGGGTTCTGTTTTGAAGGCTGGGAACCCCACCCCCCCTTTTGCTCTCAGCAGCTAGTTCCCAGCCTCCCAGCCCACCTTTGGACCCAGGCTCTTGCCAATCCTGGCTGGGATCAGGGAGGGGCAGCGTGGGTGGGTGTGACCCAGCAATCTGGGCACAAGCAGTGCATGGGGTGGGGATGGCAGGGGGCTGGATGGGTTGCTATTGGGGGGAGGAGGGAGCATGGGCCGGGGGCGCACCATGCCTGAACTGGACAGGAAAGGACAGGCTGGCACTAGAGGCTGAATAAGGAGCGGGGGCCCTGGCTGTCACAGGCTCACAGGTGGTGCCCACTCGTGGCCCCGTTCGATCTGTGGGGGTGCCCCTTTTAGTTACAGTCCCTGGTGGGATCTCCCTTCAGTGTGACAGCCTTTCTCGGGGGTCCACTCTCTCCCGGGGTCAGGCCCCTCCACCTTGTGGAGCTGCACCTCTCTGAGCCTTAGGCTACATCTACACTACAGGGGGGAGTCGATTTAAGATACGCAAATTCAGCTACGTGAATAGCGTAGCTGAATTCGACGTATCGCAGCCGACTTACCCCGCTGTGAGGACGGCGGCAAAATCGACCTCTGCGGCTTCCCATCGATGGCGCTTACTCCCACCTCCCCTGGTGGAGTAAGAGCGTCGATTCGGGGATCGATTGTCCCCGAGAGGTCGATTTCTACCCGCCGATTCAGGCGGGTAGTGTAGACCCAGCCTTAGCACTCCTGTCTCTTGCCGTGGCCCACTCAGGGCGTCCAGTCGCTCTGGACCCCCAGAGCTTCCACCCCCAAAGGGGTTGATGCATCTGATATCACCGGCCCCAAGTCCCGCCTCTGTCCATTGTCCTCTATCCAGGTAAACCGGGTCACCTAGGCCTCCTCTCCTCTCTTCTGTCCTCTGGCCCCTCTGCCTGGAACCGGCTAGTCAGGTCACTGGGGTCCTCTCTTCACAGCCCATTGTCCTCCCCTTGGCCATAACTTGTTGTGACTCCGGGCCTGGGCACCAGGTCCCCAGTCACTGGGGTCTCCATTCTCCAGGTCATTGGCTGGGGTCCCAAGTCCTGTGTAACAACAAACTCCCTCTCCCCTCACCTCGTTAAACCAGTAACAGCCAGGAAAACTGAGTCCCACCCCCTATGCATGCAAACTATTGAAAAACAAGAAAATCCCCCACTTCATCACACCAGTCTTTCAAAAGTTTACAACTGAACATGGACTTAGTACAGCTTTGAAACTTAACTATGCCAAAGAAAAATGCTGTTTTTAACCATCTTAATTTAAATGAAACAAGCACAGAAACAGTTTCCTTCCCTTGTCAAATCTTTCTTTTTAAAATTTCCCTTGATGTATTTAGCAGTTTATGTTTAACACAGAATTGTTCTGTATTTGCTTGTGATTTTAAGTTATCTCTGCTGCCATGTGATTGCTCACTTCCAGTTCCAATGAGGGGTGTCGTTGGTTGGTCAGTTGGTAACTCTGAGGTTCTACTCTAGTGGTCAGTGGAAGATTGAAGATAAGACCCTGTGGTTTCCTGGCTCCAGCCCAATGCACCTTCCCGAATGCTGCAGGGTGCACTGAGGGTGACCTCTCCCCCCTCCCCACAGAGACATAGACAAACTGGGAGCTGAATGATGCTTGGCCAGGCGTTTCCTGGGTTTTGCAGGGACCTCTGCTTGCTTTGGCTGCTCTAGATTTTGCCTGCAGAATAGAGACAGGGTGTGATGGATGCAGGAAGAGATGAGCCATCGTCGACTTCCTGTAGCTGGAGCCACCAGCTGAGTTCCTTATTTGGGGCTCGGTGGAGCTGGGCACCAGGGTGTTGGTGGCAGCCCTGAGAGGGCCCTCACTGTCCCCAGCATGGCATCTGCTCTCACCATCCTCCTCCTCGGTGAGTATCGGATAAAGGCAGGGCATGTGTCCCTTGGGGGGGGTGGGACCTGAGACCCGGGTGTGTATCCATGGGGGGCAGGATCTGAGGCTCGAGCGTGCACCCATGGGGGGATCTGAGACAAGGTTGTAGGATCCAGTTGCTTTGGGCTCTGGTCACTAATGAGCCATCTCCTTTCCAGGTTGCTGGCTGGCCGGGCACAGCGGGGTGTGGGGAGGTGAGTATCAGTCTGTGGGGAGGACGGTAACATCAAGGATGGGGGAGGGGATGCATGGGGTGGGGAAAAGAGGAACTGAGCTATGAACCTTCCCCAAAACTCAACCCAAACTCACCCTGTGAGTTCAGACACGTCCCCGTTCTTCTGTCACTGCCCCACCCTCCGCCAGTGAGTAACTAGGAGCCGAATCTGGTTCCTGGCATATGACAAAGCAGGAACCGTCCCTTGGTTCAAAGCCCGGCCCTCCCCTCCAACCCCCAGGCTGTGAGGATTTGGGGTGGGGGGTCATCACATGGATTTATTTCAGCTCATACAAACATTAATAGGACCCCTCCGTGGGCTCTAGATCCCCGCAGGGAACCGAAACGTTCCCGGTCAGTGTAGCCATGGGGAGAACCTCCCAGATCCTCCCCCCGCTCCCAGATCCACCCCCAACAGCCCCCTCCTCTGCACTCACAGCCCCCTATTCCCAAGGCCTGGGGAAAAGTTGGGTCAGTGCGCCGAGCTGGGTGGGAGACGCTGGGGCCAGAGCCTCTTGGCCTGGCCCGGCCGACCACCAGGAGGAGCCGCGTGGCCGGGGGGGCCGGACTGGGCCGCGCCTCCTCGCACCCCCCCGACCCAGCTCCAGCTCCAGCCCCAGCTTACCTGCTGCCTGCCTGCTTCTGTGAATCAAATGTTCGCGGGAAGCAGGGGAGGGGGAGAGGCAGGGGGCGAAGCGTTCAGGGGAGGGGGCGGAGTTGGGTCGGGGCCGGGGCCCCGTGGAGTCTCCTCTTTTTGGACACTTAAAATATGGTAACCCTAGTTTAACTCCTGTCTCTTGTTGAAAGCAGGGTATGAATTTCGCAAACCCACAATCTCGGTGAGCCCCAGCAGGGTGATGGCGCTCGGGGGAAGTGTCACCATCCGCTGTGAGGGTTTGTACCTGGACATGAAGTTTTTCCTGCATAAAGCTGGACACCCGAACCTGCAGGTGTGGATGGTGCCTGATGGGACCGTGGCTGAATTTCCCATCCCCAGTGTCGGTCGGGAAGATGGAGGAAAATATACCTGCGACTATCACTCCAGAACGGATCAGAATCGCTGGTCGTATCTCAGCGACCCCGTCGAGATCATTGTAGCAGGTGAGGGGCCCAGCTCAGTGGCCCGGCTCCCAGCCCCACACCCAGCCAGCCCCACAGGGGGTCTCTGCATTGATGGGACACTCAGAGATAGGCTCTCCCATTAGCCCTGGGCCCAGCAGAGGGGACGTCCTGCCAGGGAGCAAGGACGGAGTCACTGGCGGGTTAACAACCAGGGGGGAGAAGCAGCCACTGGAGATTTGGGGCAGAGGAAGGGGGGATCCCTGCACCTAGGGGGAGCTGCAGAGCAGAGGGGACCTTTCCCAGACAACACAATAGTTAAGGGGTGATGGGCAGAGCTGAAGGTTATAAACCTCAGTGTATAGTAGAGACTTGCACAGTCCCCTACAAGTCAGTGGTGGTGCTGTGCACAGAACCCAGGAGTCCTGGCCCCTGTCCCCCCTGCTCTCCCCACTAGACCCCACTCCCCTCCTTGAGCCAGGGAAAGAACCCAGGAGTCCTGGCTCCCAACCCTCCCAGCAGAGAAGCCAGGGAGTGAATGGACCCTGGAGACTGAACTGGCCTGTCTCCTGCTAGGGAGCAGAGCTCTGGGCCCCCAGGGGCTGGGGTTGCTCCGTGTCTCATGCTGTTAGCCCAGGGCTCAGAGGAAACTCTGGGCCCTGTGGAAAGGCGAACAGGAGCCCGTCCCCAGGGCCGCCGGTCTGACCCACCACTGAGGCCGCGTGGTGAGGACGGACCCCAGGACTGAGTGACGGGGCCTGTGTCTCACGGCCTGTCTGCTTCCCACTGCAGAGCCCATCTACCCCAAACCCAGCATCGCCCTGAGCCCCAGCAGGGGGGTCTCCCTGGGGGGAGCTGTGAGCGTCTGGTGTCGGGGGCAGCACTGGGGCATGCGGTTCGTGCTGAATAAAGATGGACGCCATTTCCAAACTGTGGATTCAGACAGGTTTGAGGCTGTGTTTCCCATCAGCACCGTGCGCCGGGAGGACGGCGGGAACTACAGCTGCTCCTATCACAGCAGATCGGAGCCGTTCACTATGTCGTACCCCAGCGACCCCGTGGAGCTGGTGGTGAGAGGTGAGGGGCCCGGCTCAGCGTCCCCATTCCCAGCCCCACCCCCTGCCAGACCCTCACGGGGGCTCGGTGCCAATGGGACGCTCAGAGCCAGGCTCTGCCCTGAGCCCTGGCCCTGCAGTTGAGACGCCCGGCCGGGGAGCGGGAACAGAGTCACTGGGGGGTTCCCCAGCCGGGGGGAGCAGCAGCTCCTGGAGAATCGGGGCAGGGGGGCAATTATAATTCTACCCCTTGTGCGTAGGAACCGTGAGTCGCTATTTAATCCCAGGATCCTCTCCCCTCTGTTCTCCAAGCCCTGCCCCAGGCAGTGCCCCGGCTGGGGCTGAACGAGGCAGGGGCTGCAGGAGAAGCAATGTCTTGGTGGACACGGCGCTGGGCTGGGACCCAGGAGATCTGGCCCAGCTCCTGGCGCAGCCACAGTCTCTGTGTGTTGGGAACATGTCGCGGTTTTCAAAAGTGTCCTTCCTTGTGGGGGGGCCTCAATCTTGGGGGATCTCAGGCCGAGCGCCCACAAACCGAGACGCCCACAGTTAGCAGAGATCTCTGCAAACGCTGGCCTCAATAGTGCTGAATCCCTTGTGTTGGGGGAGCATGAAGGGCCCCCGCCATGATCAGGGTCCTGCTGTGCCAGGCGCGGCATAAACACAGAGTGAAGAGACAGTTCCTGCCCCTGGGAGCTCACTAAGGAAAGTGAATCTGTCTGTGGCCTGTAGAATGGGGATAAAGACCCCTCCCTGCCTCCCGGGGGGACTGACTCCCTTCCTGTGTGGGGCTCAGGCCCTGCTGTGCCAGGCGCCAAAGTGAGTCCAGCCCGTGAGTCGCTCTGTGTTCAGGCCAAGCTGGACACAGTGAATGAGGCAGGAGCCACACACGGCATATGAAGAACCCAAGAACTAGGCAGTCGCGGCTCCGTGTCTGTGGGTTTGGGAGCCCAGCTCGCAGGGCCGGGATTCTGGCTCAGGAAAACTCTTGGATCTGGAAGAGAATTTCTGCCAGGGGGCCCCTGGATCTGCCCGTGCCTCGGGCCAGCTGGGGAATCACAGAAGATTAGGGTTGGAAGAGAGCTCAGGAGGTATCTACTCAAACCCCTGCTCAAAGCGGGACCAACCCCAAGTAAATCATCCCAGCCAGGGCTTTGTCAAGCCGGGCCTTAAAAACTTCTAAGGATGGAGATTCCACCACCTCCCTAGGTAACCCATTCCAGTGCTTCACCACCCTCCTAGTGAAATAGTGTTTCCTAATATGCAACCTAGACCTCCCCTAGTGCAACTTGAGACCATTGCTCCTTGTTCTGTCATCTGCCACCCCTGAGAACAGCCCAGCTCCATCCTCTTTGAACCCCCGTTCAGGTAGTTGAAGGCTGCTATCAAATCCCCCCTCACTCTTCTCTTCTGTAGCTGGAGGACGGGGCTGGGTGGGTGCCCAGGTCTGGTTCTCACAGCCTGTCTCCTGTGCGCAGATCACAGCTTACCCAGACCCTCCATCTCTCTAAGCCCCACTGCGGTCACCCCCCTAGGGGCAAACATCACCGTCCGGTGTCAGGGGCAGCGCCAGGATGTGAGGTTTTTCCTGCACAAGGCTGGAGACCTCAACCCACAGCGACACATGGACCCTGCTGGGAATGGGGCCGAGTTCCTCATCCCCACCGTGGGCCGGCAGCATGGCGGGAACTACAGCTGCAGCTACCGGCTCCGATCAGAGCCCTTCATCTCCTCAGAGCCCAGCGACCCCGTGCAGCTGGTGGTAGCAGGTGAGGAGCCCGGCTCCACGTCCCCGCTCCCAGCCTGATGACCAGAAGGTCGGCACCCAGAAGGAATGCTCAGATCCAGGCTCTGCCCAGAGCCCTAGGACTCGCCTAGACAGGGGGCAGGGACAGTGTCACTGGGGAGTTCCCCAGCCAGGGGGGAGCAGCAGCTCCTGGAGATTCAGGGCCGAGGAAGGGGTGACCCTGCCCCCAGGGGGAGCTGCGGAGCAGGGGCCTTTCCAAGGGGATGATCCCCCGGCTGCTCCCGCGCTGGGGACTCACAAAGGAGTCAGGGCCCAGGGGCTGCCCGGCCGGCACCGTCCCCAGCCACGAACCCCCCTCCCCGGGACTGACAGTAACGATCGATGCTGAGTCACTGGCAGAGATGAAATAAGGTTTCCTGGGGCCCTGGGCCAGAGAAAGGGGGATCCCTCCCCACTCCTCCCACCTGCGTCCCTCTGCTGTCCCGCCTCCTCGGCCTGCAACCCCACCCACGGCCCCACCCCCTTTGCCCCTTCCCCGGGACCCCGCCCCTATTCCACCCACTGTCCTGCCCCATTCTGTCCCCCCACTGCAGCCCTGCAACCCATTTGCTACTTTATGCCCCTCCCCCGGCACTGCGTCCCCAAGACCGGAGAAGCTCTGTCCCCACGCCTCCGCCCTGAGGCGCAGCGGGGAGTGAGTGTCCCCCAGCCCTGAGGCCATCCTGGGGCCACAGTGGAGGTCCCGTTGCTAAGGCTTCCCCTACCCCCCCATGCTGGGGCTTCTCCCGTCCTGCTCGCCCGGTAGCCAGAGCTGTGGGGCCCCCCACTTGGCCAGGGCCGTAGGGTCTGTGTCTGCTCTACCAGTGGTCGCGGAGGGTGGGGGACGATCTCTGAGTCAGTGTTTCAGCCACTCCCCACGCCCTGACAGATGCTAGTTCTATTCCCACAGGGGGAACCGACCCGACCCAGCCTGAGCGGTGCCGCCTCCCACCCGCCTGGGCAGCGCAGGGCCGCGGGGAATCTATTGAGTCACAGACAGTCTTCAGGGCGGGGGCAGCTTCCCTCCAGTAGTTGCCTAGGGGGATGGATGGAGGCTGTTCTCAGGGGCATTGACTCCCCCCACTGCCCCCCTCCGCTGACGGATTTGGGAGGGGACGGAAGCCTCCTGCTCAGACACAAACCCACCGCTAACAGGGCAGCCAGAGGCTTCCTCTGGGGGCAGCTCGGACCATCAGTGGCCATGGGCGGGGGGGTGGTGCGTTGGAGCTCCCCGTGAAGCAGCCAGGAATAGCCAGTATGGGAGGCGGGATACCGGGCTAGATGGGCCTGTTGGCCTGAGCCAGTGTGGCCATGAGGCAGGGGTTGAAATGCCTTAGAAATGACGGCCAGGATGGATCAGACAGCGCCCCCTAGCACCGTGCTGGGGCAATCGGCTCAGCCCCGACCGATGGGGCGAATGTCCCCTGCAGTCCAGTGCCCCCTAGCATTACAAATCCCCCAAACCTTGCTGGCTCTGACCCCACTTGATACCCTGGGGCCCACAAATCCTCCCCATAGAATTTTCTGCTGCCTGTTCCCTGTGGAGCCCAAGCTCCCTGGGCACCGCCTGGGGTGGGAGGGGCTGGGGGGGAACAGACCAGCCGCTTTTGGCACTCACGGCTCTGCTGTTTCCCAGATGGATCGGAATCACCGGCACCTCTGGGTCTGACCAGCCCCATCATCGCTGGGGTGAGTGTGGTAGCTGCTGTCCTCCTCCTCCTTGTGGCCTTCATCTGCTTCAGAAAAACCCGAGCCAGTAAGTGCCCCCCAGCGAGGGAAGGGTTAAACCTGCCACTAAGCAGGGCGGGATGGGGTCACGGCTTGGATGCGGGACTGTGCCAGGAAAGCCAAGGATGGGGGGCGGTGAAGGCTCAGCAGGGGGTTCTGCTGCATGAGTAATCCCTGTACACACAGCTGGCACACCCACCCCAGAGGTGGTTGCATCTCAGCTCTGGGCGAGGGGTCCCTGTATAAAGAGCCACCGATACCGTACCTCTCAGGTTGCAGGGGAGCCAAGCTGTGGACCAGGTTCGTTATAACAAGTCACTAGCGAGGGAGGATTGGGGGACAGGAAAAGCCCCCTGAGTTAATCTGCCCCTAGCCCCTGGAGCATGCTCTGGTGTTGCGCTGCCCCCTGCTGGTACATTGCATCCCAGCAGGGATCCAGGTTCAGCACCAGCAGCAGAGGGGACCCCCCAGACTCCCCCATCCCTGCTGCCCTGTGGGGGTGAGTGGCCGGCACTGGTACCAGCGGATCCCAATCGGCTCATGGGGGATTTTGGTTTGTGTCCCTCTGCAGGAAAAGGAGACGCACCGAGACCAAGCAGGTAGGAACCCAGCTCCTCCCCGCTCTGAATCAACCTGCCGGGGTCACAGTGCCCCTCGGTTCTGTCCTCAGTTTGGGGAGAGGACTGGGGTCTAGTGGTTAGAGCGGGGTGGGGTGGGGGTGGGGTCTGGTGGTTGGGGCAAGGGGGGTTTAGGGAACTGGGTTCAGTGTGAGGCAGGATGGGGGCTCTCTGGGTGTGTTGAGGAATCTCCTCACGGGTGGGGGGATATGACATTTACAAAGGAATTTTCCCTTTTAGCACCAGCCCTATGGTGGCCTTAAAGGCATCGGCTCAGCAACACCTCATCTGTGAGTAACACACCCAGGGGGGTACCAGGATGGGGCAGGAACCCTGGGGAGGGGAGGGGCTTGTGGGGGCTCCACCCATACGGGGTAGGGTCTGATTTACAGCTGCTGCTGGTTAGGACTAAGGAGAGGGTCCCAGAGGTAGCCGGTGTCAGCGGAGAGTGTTGGACTCCCAAGAGCTCCTGGGGCCTCCCTCCCTTCCTGCTCTAGTTCCCCATCCACTCCCGGCTCCCAGCCCCCTGCTCTAACCACTAGTGTAGACCCCACTTTTCTCTCGAGCCAGGGAGAGAACACAGGCGTTCTGA